GAAGTATCTCCCGAATCACAAAGTCGAAATAAAGCCGACTCCCCTTTCTTGAAGAATTTTAGATATTTATTTTGATTTTTAATCGATTTTTAATGACAAATTATCACTTAAAACAAATTTATAACTTAAATTATTTAATAAAACAAAATTTCCAATATTGATGAATTTTCAATTTGGTCAGCTGGATTTACACAAAATTTTCCCATCACCGGTCGGATAGAAAGACTTGTATCCGCCCGGCTACGCACCGCCCTTCCCTAACTTAGGGTTAGGGTTTACCCTAATTAGGGTTTCCCCCAATTACGGTTTTGGGGTTTTGCGCGCGACCGCCCGCCACCACGCCTGACTTCTCGAGGCAGAAAATTTTCCGTCGGTTTGTAGTCAGTTAAAAGCCAGGCTCCAACGGATCACTTTTGCTGACTTCTGTTTCCCTTTTATTTTTATAAAAATATAAAGAAAATCAATAATTCCTCTTAATTTTCCCCTCTTTTCCTGTCTGTTGGCGGTCACCACTCGTTCTAACGGAGTCCGTTTTCCCCGACTAAGGTCTCAAAATGTCGGGAAAATTACAAGGACCAACTTTGGTCCAGGCGGGGTTCACCTAATTTCGTTTATTTTCTTCGTAATTAAAATAAAAGGAAATTCATGATTTTCAGAATTTTTATTAAAAAATTATAAAAAATTTCATATCTCCTTTTCTAGCCATTAAAATTTTTCAAAAAATATCTCAAAACGTTATCCTAAACGAGAGGTCGAACTTTGCTCCCTGTGCACCTAGCGCAAAAACGCACGGATCAGAAGATATCTAGGAAAAACCAATTAGAAATTTTAATCCATTATTTTTTGGATTTTTAATTAAAAAAATACAAAAAATTCCATATCTTTTTTTCTAGCTGTTAGAATTTTTAAAAAAAGTCTCAAAACGTTCGCCTCGACGAGAGGGCGAACTTTGCTCCCGGCGCGGCCCGCACGAAAGGGCGCGGATCGGGAGATATATGAAAAAAAACTAATTAGAAATTTTAATCCGTTATTTTTGAAATTTTTAATTAGAAAAATATAAAAAATCCCATATCTTTTTTTTCTAGCCTTTAGAATTTTTCAAAAAACGTCTCAAAACGTTTGCCTCGACGAGAGGACGAACTTTGCTCCCAGCGCGGCTTGCACGAAAGCGCGCGGATCGGGAGATATTTCAAAAAAAACTAAATAAAATGATTATAAAAAATAAAACTAAACAAGAAAACAAGCTAATTAGTGTTTGACTAATCAGCCCGTGCACCCCCATTGGTTGGGGAAGGCCGCGGCCTTGGGGGTGCTGTTCCCCTCTCCGGCAACGGCGCCAAAGTTGTGAGGAAACCCGGGAAGGGGGCCCTGTTCGTCGCTGAAGCCAGGGGGTACAGTGCCTGTCACTTCACTGTCCCCGTTTCAGAGGTCCTCAACGACCAACAGGGATCTAGGTAGGAGACGCCCTGTCACGCTACCTGTTTTTCTTTTCTCTTTTCTTCTTTATTTGGCATCTTCACACCGCAAGGAGTTTCAATCAGTCAACAGTTAAATCGGCTGGTTCAGACAGTAATGAGTTYCAACAGTCAAACGGTAAATCACYAGGTTCAGACAGTAAGGAGTTTCAATAGCCAACAGGTAATTCASYTRTTTCAAGCAGTAATAAGTCTCAATAGTCAACCGGTAAATCGACTGGTTCAGACAATAATGAGTTYCATCGATCAACTGGTAAATCAGCAGGTTTGCACAGCAAAGAGTCTTGGCAGTTCTCTTGCTGTTCTTCCTCTTTCTCTCTCGCGCTGTTCCCCCTCGCTGTTCTCTCAGTCTCTCCCGCTGTTCTCTCTCTCTCTTCTCTCTCTCTCTCTCTTGTTTTCCACCCTGTCATCTGGATCCTTTCATCCTTTCTATAGAGTCTTCTTGGACACGTGCACTTTGTAGTGCTTCATGCCTTCTTCCCTTTCAAGGGTACACATTGCCAGACGAATCTGACGTGGCGCATGGGCCAGGTTCATTTAGTCCAAACATCCGCCTTGGCAACTAACATCAAGGGCTCTCCCTGTGCCTTATGACATCTCCCCATCTGCCATGAACGTGGTCTGCTGGCTCATCCAGGTGCTTAAACAAATGAAATAGTCAAGCGAATAAATAGATAAAGAAATTAACCAATTTCCCGTGAGTTGAAAGCAGGATTGGGTTGTGGGGATATACATTGACATAATCTGCGACCTTGCGCTTCTATCCACCAGATGAAGTCGAAATGCATCTGCAGCAAGARCACTGGAAAATTACATTGCCATAATCTGTASCTGAATTCAACCYGGCGAGCCTGCGCTATCCATCTCATCACGTGGTCGAAATTTGCAGTTGGTCCGCGTCAATTCCCATCAATAGAATTAGATTAAAGGACTAAGTACAGTAACTGTCGTGCATACCAATCAGCCATCACTTTCTGTCACTACYACTTTCGTACTCATCATTTCTCAAYTTTGAGCGGCACAATGCGRCATTGACATGGCTCTATTGAGCCGAGCCAGATAATCATAGCCCTRACAGCGTTTCAGATCAGGTCTACTGATCAAGCCCCAAAGCATGATGGATTCGACTGGCAAGWCTGGTGGAGATCTCCTCTTTGCAAACCAATGTRTTCTAATGGATTTGGACAGAACCRTGGTCCAGATCCGTTCAACCTCTCTGGGCATTTTTCCTGCGCTTRGTTGAAAGAARCCAAATGTTGCAGCGAGGCACTTCCGTGCGTGCTACACCTCTYAGGTMTTTTCRCAGAAT